TTTCTTAACTTCTTCGTACGTCTACTTCTCTTTCTTTCTCTCTCTATCTCTTTCTTTCGCTCGCACTTTCTCGCTATCTCTAACTCTTAATGTTTCTCTTATTCTTTTTCATATACTCTTTTTTCTTATGCCGAGAGCTTCGCTCGAGTTTTTCTATAACGACTGCGAGCGTTTTTAGGCCAGCCTGACGCATCACTGGAAACACAATAAAAAAAGCACGAGAGGCCGAGATCAGTGTACACACGCACCAGTTCCAATTTTCACGTTCACGTCTTATAATTTTTCCCGGCTGTGTCATCTCATTCTCTCTCTCTCTTTCTCTCCCCCATTCGCGTTCATCCTTCTATCTTTCTGTCTCTCGCACGATCCACACTTTCTTATCCTTTCTCTCCCTCTCTTTCTCGCTAGCTTTGATTGCGTGTCTTTTGCATGGCTGTCTGATCCGGTGTCTCTCTCTCACTCTCTGTCGCCTTCTAAGAATTTCGTTTCATCTGCATCAAGAAAAAACGTCATTGAGTCGGAGTTTCCGATCTATTCTTCATTTTTTTTCTATTTTTTTTTTTTATTTTTAGTACTTCGCGTCGAATCGTAATTTAAGATCCTGACAAGAATTTGTCCGATTGCGATCTTCTATTTCCAAAGTTAAATCCGATTTGTGCTAGTTGAAAATTCCTCGTTTAGATTTGCATAACGTAATTTCTTCGCGAGCGATAAGAGGAGAATGCGTCCCCGGGATCGTCTCCGGGTTGCGCGAACCGTTCGCACGATTTCGCAGCTTCCGGGACGGAATCGTCAAGGTGATGGAGAGTAGAAGAGACGGCGCAGCAGACGACCGAATGGATCGTGACAGTAACATAGGTGGGTAGCAGAGACCGTACCAGAACTGTGCTTGCGACAATGCGCCGTCTTTCTTCTCAAAGTGTCATTCTCGATATTTTAGTAACGCGCGTTACGGCGGTACGCGCGCAAAAATAGCTGGAGACGGCTAGAATCCGAAAACGGCCGGATTGGGAAGGAAAAGCTTCCCTCTCCCCCACGACTCGCTCGCGGCTCCGTTCGTTTTTCATTCGCGTTTTTTTTTTTTTTCCGTTTTGCGACAAACACAGTTCCGCCGCCCCTTATCGTTACTGTTACAGTTGTTAGAATTCGAAGTACCAACCAACAGCTGATTAGAACGAGATTAAAAGAAGAGTAAAGAGGGGGTGAGGGGGAGGGACGGCGATGACAAAACGGTGATAAGAGAATAATACTGACGGAATATATATATATAAGTGGATTACACATTACTTGACCGGTGCAAAATGTTAGGAGTCAGTCGGTCGGCATGTGAGAGGCTCTTTGTGCTCGTGTAAGAGTGTACAAAGCGAATGCTGTCATTTGTTACGTATGCGATTACGGGAAAAGTAGTTAGTGCCAGCTGCAGCGTCAGAGGGGGAGAGGATTCATCGTTGCAAACTTCGCGATCAGAGCCGATCACGTCGAACTTGGCTATCAGGGTTGATCACATGCGCTCGATGTAACGCCAAAGCTGATAAAAACTGGCGAGATCGATGAGTGCGATGAGAAATTGCAAATTCGATCTCTCGTTAAGAACGACCGAACGAGTTAAAATTCACGAATTCAGGCGGAGAGCCTAACAAGAAAATCAATTAACGCGTGGAGATTCTACTTTTTCGAAGTAAAATTAGAAATTTAAATCGAACTGCTCGAGCACTTTATTACGGTATTCCTGGCGAACAAAGAACGGAGTTGATCGAGAAATCGTAATTGCTCTTTACGTTTGCTGAGCAAACTAAAAATTTAAATCGACTAAAGACTTAGAAGACTGTTTCTCCATAGAAAAGTGCGGAAGTGAGTTTATCGCAAAACCAACTAAAAATAGAACCAATCTGTAAATTCGCTACGTGTTTTGTTTCTCTCTGGAAAACCGGTTTGGTAGCGTCGATCGAACGATAAAACTGATGGAACTTAACACCGGGAAGAATACACCGAAGAAGACCGGGCTCCGTTTCAGATCGATAAAGAAGTGTAGAGCTATACAAAAGCCGGAAGTGAGCTGCGGAACAGCACGGCTACGAGCATGCATTTTAGTCGCTTCATTTCAACCCCTGCAGCGCGGCACCGCGTCCTGCACGAATCGTGCGGAATTTCGGGGTGAACCGGATGAAATTAATTTCCTCCGGAGAGCTTTCTTAGGATGGCCTCGATTCCGCATTCGAGAGTTCGAGGCGCCTTCCAAAATAGAAGATCCGTCCGCGAGAAAATGAAAGAAACGTTGCGCGATCGATTATCGAAACAGTCTCATTAATGACAATTTAACGTTTCGTGTCTTGCGGATTGAAAATATATCGCGGATCGGACGAGTCCTCCGATAAATAATTCATCGGACGAATGTAAAAAACGTCTTTTTTTTTCTTTTATCTTACGATAGAATTGTAGTCGAAGCGAAACATCGACAAGTGATCACCGTATTGACATGTCAGATATTGGATCCATCGGCTAGAAATTCCTACAGGAATCCCCTGCCAGGCTTGCCGAATACTCCCGCTCGCTGTGTTTACCCGCAAATTTAATTTAACGTCACTCCATGTGCCATGCGACATCGTTGAAATTGTACGTCAGCGAGATTTACTACGTTTGAAGAACGAAGAGCCGCACTGGAGACGATGCGAGATACGTATTTTCGTGTGAACATTAAAACGGAAATTAGCAGGTATATGTCAATTTACCAATTGCAAAATAGGGTATCCTTCGCTACAAAAAAAAAAAAAAAAAAAAAAATTACGAACGAAAAGCTACGTAAAAGTATCTACGTCAATCTGACTCGACTGTGAGCGGGCAGTACGATAAATTAAAACGAAAGCAAATTCCGGACTGTAAGAAACCGCCAGCAAATTTCGACGAAAGTCGAAGAAGAATTTAATGAAGAAGGAGGAAAATGAGAAGATAACTGACGATTTATGTGAAGAGCCTTAATGACATTCGGGCGAGAAAAGCGATACGAAGCGTACTTATCAAAGATTGATAACGCGAAGGATTGTCGAGCATGACAATCCGAAGGAGAGAAAATCCCGCAAATTTTCCACCGTCCAAATTCGCTTTGTCGCGTTGCATCG